GAGTGCCCAAGTGTTGAGGCACCAAAAAGAATGTAGAGCAGGAACAGGGTTCTCAAAAGGGCTTGTGTTAACGGCACCCAGGTTAGCAGGTCATCAAGACCCCAGCACATCCCCCTGCAATTTCAGAAGACACCCAGACCTGGAGACAAAGAACACTGATAATCCACAGAGTGGGACAGGGCAGAGACACAGACCACTGTCACCTCCAAAAGGGTACACAAAGGCATATCTGAAATCTAGAACGGCTGCCAACCTAGGAACAGGCCAGAAGACATAAGGACCTGCCAAGCTGATGTCTGTTGTCTGCTACAAGGGCTCCTGAACTTAATATCTGGACACGAGCAACATAGCACCAGACTGCTGGACACACAGCTTAAACACTCCTGCTGTGGTGCTTGGCTGCTGGACAGACATCTCAGGCACTAGACACTTTCTGCCACTTAGATTGCAAGCCTGAGTGAGCGTTTTGTTTCACTTCATATTTTAAATAAAATCACCTTCCTCTCCTATGAGGTTTCCAATGGATATCTGCTACATTGATGGTACAACATTATAACAGTACTTCCTACAGCAGCAGAGAAAATAGGGAATACTGTTTTACAGCTGAGCTTTCTATTCCTTGAATACTGTTCAGGCAAAGAAACAGCCCTTCCTCCACATCCCATTTTAAAAAAATCCTCTTTTTTTTTTTTTTTTTTTTTTTTTTTAAAAATCCTCCAAAGACTGTGCGGGCCCTCATATCTTGCATTCACATAACCTCCGGCATGTCAGGACTGGTTTCAAACATTCTTCCTTTTCCAGTTTTTAAGAATGAATGTGGGAGGTGTTCAAGAGACACTTCAGACTCTTCACAGACTTGGTCAGAATTTTTAGCCTTAGTTGGCCCACAATTTTTGACACCTCTGAATGACAGGTCAGCATCGTAAGATGCTTAGCCTTTTTGTGCAAATCTTCACACTGCAGACTCACAGCACTGTGGGTAAGATTGTACAGCAGTGCATATAGTTAATTTGACATATACCAGGGTAACAGAAAATTCTGATTTTGGTTGTTTTTTTTTTATAAGACACTACTTCTCACAGCTCTTGTGCGTTCAAAGCAAGAATATTAATCCAAATGAATTTACTTACTGCTAAAATAGTGTACAACTTCACATGAAAGAAAGTTGATTGCTTATTATTCTTGTAATGATAATATAAAGCAGAATTATCTTTATATGTAATATGCCAAAGGCGAATCCCCTGGCATATTTTAACAATTCATACATAGACATGTATAAGCAGCATGCTGTGCCTTAATGTTATGTTGCTCATAAGCTGCTATTACTGTTACTACATGAATAATATAGCACATGAAGCTGCTAAAATGTTCCTCAGGAAATTTTTCTCATAAGCAGCTACTGCTTTCAGAACGTGTAAGATAACATGCCTCACCTCCACAAGATCTAAAGCTGTGCTTCTCATTTAACCACTTCAATTTTTTACTTTTACCTGACAAGCACGTTGAAAATGCAGTCATTTAGAATTCTATAACAAACTCAAGATTTAATTATCAAATACAGAACACAAGGAATCTCACGCTAGCGACAGTAATCCTTTTGCTTTCAACTAAGAATTCCCCCCGCTTTTTTTTTTTTTTTTAATTTAAACAAAGCACCATTCTGTAGTACAAAATACCTCCAATAATTTTGAAAAATTCAGGGCATACCTGACCTGCATGTTACGAAGACGGAAAGGAGAGGTAGAGTTTTTAGTAACAGCTTCACATGTTTCATCATGTGTAAAGTCCTTTCCACCTTATTATCAACAATCACACGAAGTCATAAGGCTACAATCAGTTCCACTATAATCACTCCACTCTCCATAAACTTATTTTGCGCTGTAGATTACTCAGACGTTCTGGTTTTGTCAAACGACTTGGAAGCCATCCCCTTTGTGCACTCCTGTGTCAGTATGACATAAAGACACCAGAAGAGGATGCAACTACTCCAGCAGATTAGCAACATCCATCTAGCACACAGATTCCAGGAATAACAACGATAACAGAAGCGTAACTATAACCAGCGCTATGCCCGTAGCCGGAGACGAAAGGGCTAATTTCGGAGGATACGTTTCGGTTTCTCCTCTCCACGTACGCCGTCAGCTGCAGCTGTTCACCGAGAGCGCGTTCTCGGCCGTCCCCGACTCGGCTGTAGGCTATCGCTGTGCAGGAAACGGGCTCTCCCTCCCGGCCATCGGCTGCAGCCCGGTACCGCCGCCCGCCCGCTCCCAGCTCCGAAGTTACTCGGACTTTTCAGGGCGGCGGGCGGGTCGAACCGACCCGGTTCCCACCCCCGTCACCCGCGCCCCGGCAGATGTCCCCGGCGGGCGCCGGCCGTCACCACACGGACACCCCCCCC